CGATCAGAATTCAGCAGAGATCGCGCTGAACACGTTCCTGAACTCCAAAACACCGGAAGAGTCCCGCTTGTCTCTCGATCACTATCTTCGCAGCCAACACTCCCCGAACGCTCAATCTCGATCCTCGAACGCAATCATCAGTCAGAATAGAAAAGCGATCGAACCAACGATCGATGTTCAACGGTCATTGAACTCCCAAGTCGAACAACAACAGTCATCGATGATTCCTCAGGTGAACCAGCAGCTGACGTCGCAAGTGAACCAGGGTCAACTGGCGCCGCAGGGACAATTGGCGTCGCAGGGCCAGCTGATGCCGCAGGACCAGCTAGTGCCGCAAAACCAGCTGGTGTCGCAAAACCAGTTGGTGCCACAAAACCAGCTTATGTCGCAGGGCCAGCTGTTACCGCCTACAGGACAGGTTTACGACTACGTGGGGCAACCGCCTCCGATTCAGCCCGTAATCAGGGCACCTGCGGGAGTCACTTTGGGACAGGGGATGATGCAGTCTGTACCGTTTATGCCCGGCTTTCACACCAGGAACGACATGATAACGCCAGCGATGTGGCGAGAGAGGATGAGGAGAATTCGCGGGCAGCCGTTCCCCTTTGCGCAACCTAGGCTGGCACCAGGATTGTATAAAGGAGCGATCGCAGGTAAATCTGAAAAAGAAAATATATAACAGTGTTTTTAAGCGAAGATATAGCCTTGAATGCGAGACAAAATAACAATTTTTTGCGAGTTGATCCAAGATAAAAAAAACTTCATCTCCTTGACAAAAGTTTAACTCGTGGTTTTGTCTGAAAAATAATAAACACAGTTCTTCATTCACATAAAAATATCGCTGTTCAAACTTGTTTTGTGTTTAAAATTATTTGCCTCTTTCAATAATTGATATTTTATTAACAATAAGAAAAAAACATTTAACTGAGATCATCAATTATATGTCATCAATAATATTATCCAAGTAATTCATCAAAATTCTGCGAATGAAAAGATCATGTCTTGAAATTATTGGAAATATCTTAGAACAGGAAAGTTTACATTTAAATTATTATTTATATAATTAAGGATTTTAATTACTTTAACTATAAAATATTTTTTATATTTAATTATAAATATAATTAATAATTTTTATAGGAGAAATAATTTTAAAATTCTTCGAGAAATATTCAGTTATTTTGGTTTGCATAACAGATAATAGTGTTTTAATAAGCAGTGTTGAAATTCGTAAACATCGATCTGAAGGAAATAATATGACTTTTATAGCTATGATGCTATGCGGATGTGTATTATGTCATATGACATCTCGGCATATTTTTAGCAATTTTATTCGAAAATAATATCATGAATAAACACTTTCCATCAGCAACATCTTTTTTAACTCGATCTACGCTCGCGTGAATTTATGAATTGTATATAATCGAATCTAATACTATCTATCATCACTATATGACTCTCATTCTCTCTTATAGTATAATCATTTACGAGCTATTGCACATATCATATATTTCAGCATCTAAAAAAAGACAAATTCTTAAGAACAACAGAAGACTCATATAATAATAATTTTACGATAAGAAATTGACAACTCTTCCTTTCAAAGATCACTTATGACGCATATTTTTTTTGTACTCAACAGTTGAATAGCATTAACGTACATTTGCATTGCAAAAACAGGCGCACGTACAGAATACATTTAAGAATACATCGCGATAAATTGTATAAATCTTTTTCTATTAATGGAATAATAGAATCTATCATCTTCTCAGTTCCCTTCAAGCCCAAGGCCCCGATCGAGGTGATTTATACGAAGCCACCAGGTTTCCATCGAGGACCGCCCCTCATCAGTAATCCACCGATTCCTTACGAGGATGCGAGCGCCTGGTATCCCGACGCCGATCATCCGCCATCTCACAAGGACATCTATTATTCGCAGCTGTATTCGCAATCCTACGATCCTCATTATTACAATTACATTGCCGCGACCGGGAAGATACGGCCGTATCTCTACGGGAAGTTAGGTAAGCGTGAAGAGGAGAAGGATGATGGCATCTGGTCGGAATTATATCGTGGCTTTACGAAGCACGGCCTGAAGAACATCATGACGCCGACCTTCTTGTTGAGCATGACGCTACCAGTCGTGACTCTGATGCTCTCCGCCCTCGTGCAAAAGCGATCTCTCGCGCGATCGGACGGGGCGAGGGAGCTGGACCAGGACGCTCTACAAGAATATCTCGAGAGGTTGCAGAGGGCGATGGAGTGTTACGCCGGCAGGACCTCACAAGACGCGAAACTAGATGGGTGCTAGAATTAAAAATCCATTCTAATGCTGGATGAGCCGTTGGACGGAATAATGGCGTGACTTAAACGGGATAAAGTAATCCGATCTTAATGTCAATGTAATACGATAAGAGTTGCATTAATTATTCAGGCAACTAAATGCGAGTAATAATCTGAAAAATTATTTTAATATTCAAACAGAATATGTCATATAGTGAATGTAATATTCTCTGGTTACTCTTTTATTACGAATAAGACTATTTATTATTGACGTTGATGTGACTAGGACCGGGCGATTTTTCCGCGCAACACTTACTGTGCTTCTATTTCATTCGACGGCTCAAATGATGTGGCCGTTTGATTCTAAGATTTATTTATGAAAATCACGTCTGTTAAAATGAAAATCGAATAGCCACATTTTGCAATAAATATATGGTGAGAATATGGATTATTGGTGCTTAAATTGCAATAAAGAACATTAATATTGCGCGTGCTTAGTAGAGGTAAATGTGTAAAATGCTTTTAAGCGGCCATGCTGACTAACAGGTGTGATAGTTGCAACCTATCATTTTCTGATATGTCACAGATATGTCCTAGATATTTTGTTAAGAAACAATTCATGAGAGGTTGCCGTTCAATTCTTAATATCATGAATTTTTAGAAGTTGCGTAGAAACATAATTTATCAAAGACATCTTGAAACGGCAAGAATTTGTAAATGACATCGCGAGAGATAAGGAATTAATAAGTAAATTATGGCGTATAAATCACATAACACGTAAAATGTAAAAATGCATTTAAAAATCAATAATTTTATAAGCGAAGAGAAAGGTATCCGTATAAACATATTTAATTTCTATCCAATGGAACGATCTCGTTTCCCATAATTCGCGCGAAAAATAGATTGTTGTTTTTCGCACGAATTATACTCCAACTCTCGCGATACGACAAAGGCCTAATGATACATACACGAATCCACAATGTATTATTAGTATTACGCAAGACCGGCGTCTCTGGTCTCTCTTCTGTCTGTCGCAAGTCATTACTAATGAAAGAAAAAAAAACTACTAAAATAATTCTTCAATCCTTCATGTGCAGCTTAAATTTAGGAGAATTAAATAACGTAAGGCAAATCTCTCAGAGATTTGCATTAAATATATCGTGTATATACATATAACGTGTACTTAATATATAAAAATACATAACATATATTGACGTTTAACTAAAGCCGGTATATATACCTGATGTATGTTTACTGTTCCTAGCACAACGAATATTCCCACATTCTTCGTCAATCTCGGGAAAAAAAATCAAGCGTGGAAGTCTTTCTTTTCATCTTGGATATGATAGAGTGAAATCGCCGTGGGAGAAAACTTTCACGCATCTCAGTCACCTGTTCGCACGATGGATACAGATGAAGGAGAAAAATTATTATTCTCTAATATAATATTAACTTTTTTAGCCTTTATTTCATAAAAATCATTGATCGATATAAATTATTTATAGAAAATAAGAGAGCATATTAGAGAAGAATAATTTATTCTCGTTCTGCAATAATATGCAATTAAATGCAAAGCGAGACTGTCTTCGAATTCTAATCTTAAACGTTGCAACCCACGTCTTCTATTACGTACAGGCCCCGTCGCCTAATTTACGGGTTCATTAATATATGTCCAGGCTAACGTAATTGACCTTGTCGTTAAATTGCTAGTCCGGCAGTTAGTTTGCTGGAATTGTCGGTACGTACATTAGAGTTGTTGGAAATGTACTATATGGACAACGCATAAAATTATATTATGTTAAAATATCGTATATAGTGGGTTGCATTAAGAAAAAATTCGCTAAAAGTAATAACATATGCAAGAAGCTTACAATAAAAATGTAATTTTATCTAATTGTAATATTTCCGCGCACGTAGATGGCAAAATAATATCCTTTTGTCTTGCAAATCGTAGACAAATTTCTTGTCAATTATATAATAGTATAGCTATATCAAATTCATATTTTATTATCATTTTTATTATATTAGTTGATACAAAACAAATAAGTTGATAATAAAATAATAATAATATATAATAATTAAATATTATATATATTTAATTATAAAGTATATATATTAAATTATTATATATATTAAAAAGTTTATTTTTACGTATAATAAAAATAAAAAAAGTTTTTATAAGAAAGATTCCGGCAGCTTAAAGAATAAATTATTTGAATATTATTTGAAGAATCGCGCTCACGCAGTTTAGAAAGTAATATTATTAATTTGATCGACACATTTTCAGGACCAGCCGGTTTTGCCGGTTGTGCCAGATCTGTTCAACATTTTTACGATAGTTTCACAGTACAGTGACCCGATCTGGAATATTTAAAAATCTGCTCGTGTGCATAAATTGTTTAATAAAATGTAGGTCATGTGTTAACGGTATCTGTTTGTAATTAGTTAAATCAACAAAGTTGCTAAATGGTAGTAGTAAGGTGCCAAGTGTAGTATTTATTTGTCCTTTTTGAATATTTTTGTCAAGAAATCTGATATATATATATATATATATATATAAAATTATAATTATAACTTTTTTAAATCCCTAAGAAATTTATCAATATTCCTAGAAAATTCATTAAGAAACATACCTCACCAACGTTTATTAATTAATGAGTCTTCCTTGGTAAGTGATTTAGTCTGATTTTTCTCGGTTATTACTATATTTCAGAAACACGAAGTTTCGGACAAAAAAATTTCTTGTAAATGATTTCGGATATTAATAGGTTGAATCAACCGTCGCGACTTTCGATCGAATTTTGAATCGACGACTGATATCAAGTTGGAGAACGAGCTTACTTACGTCGCACAGGCATGTTCCCAGATTGATCGCAATCGAATTATTTAATCGAACGTTTGACGGCTCAGCTCAAGGGTCATGAGACTCAGCTGCTTATGTTCTCTTGCAGTATAAATAATCACATGCCACTATCAGATCCGCTGTTCTTGAATCGCTAAGTCGAATATGCGAATTGTGCATCGTAAAAGAAAAGAGAGGAAAGTACACTAATCGCAAATTTTAAAAACATGAAAATATAAAAAAGTTGATATATGTTTAAAATAATAGTTTACACCAAAGCGAGAGAGAGAGAGAGAGAGAGAGAGAGATAAAAAGAGAAAGTGCGCTTAGGATTATAAAGGAATAAGGACGAGAAATAAATAAACGTGCCATTTATTAAAATAAATTCTAATTTGCTCCATAAAATTCATAGACGATATATAATAAAAGTTCTACATTTGATATATTATAATTATAGGAGACACAGTATTAGTATTGCCTTCGATGAAACACATTCTCTTTATATAACTGCCTTTATAATATATACAATAGCATGTACTTTAATATGGTGTATCTCTTTGCCGCTAACTATTAAGTGTTGTTGGCAGCGGAGGCAGAGCTTTTATTGGCATGTGATCGTGTTGCAACTTCGATCATTGCACGATACGATCATTGCGAATGAACGATAAGCCAATTTGTTCGATTTGAATTTAAGTTCTATTTACATAATTGGTCAGTCTTTATTTCGATGAACATTGATGCATTAATTGGTATGATTAAATCTTTGATTTTATCGCTATGCCAAAATCGCTCTGTACAAACAACAAGTACAAAATATAATGTGCGCTTTGGATTAGTATGTCGATAATTTTCATGCAATTTCTTATACATAAAAAGTTTCAGTGCGCACAAATAGTATCTGAAGAAAAAGAATCTCAATTTACAGATTTACAGATGATTTTCAGCGAAAATGCCGAAGAATATTTCGAAATAATTATCTATAGATTTAAAGATATCCTAAAGAGAAAAAAAATTAATAAATTAAAAAACAATTGACGAGAATACATTCCATGGAATTAGATTCTTAATTTCAAAATTGGGGTAGACAATCTTGGAATTTTTTAAGGAACCTTTTAAAAAATTTACTAAAATTTTTAGCCAATGTCTTCTCGACTCCAAAAATTAAAATCGTATTTCCGCGCAGAATAAATTCTCGTTGATTGTTTCGGAATTTATTCATTTTCGTAGATTTATTTTCGCGACCAAAGTGATTTAAGTCTTGGCCTATTTGTAACAACATTAAAATCTTTATGCGGATTGCATTCGGTTAACGAGCTGTATTTCAAGAGACTAGACCTGACTATATTACTAAATATAATCTATATTATACATATATATATTTAATATAGATTATATTTTTAATATATACGTATTATATGCTCAT